GCATACACTGCAATGGATAACGGTTGGAAATAAAACAAAATACTCCGAAATACCATATTTTAAAAAGAGTATTGGTTTATTGTAATTTTTCTTTTCTATTATAGGTTAAATATTAATTTGAAATTTAAGGAAACATAATCAAAATAACAGCAATAGATAAAAAAGAAAACTTGCAGGAATACAATATTTAAAAAAAAAGTATTTCTTCATGTATTTTTTCTACTGTAAGTTTAAAAAACGCAAAAATACAGAAAATATAGCTGAATAATTTATTTAAAAAAAGCGTTTTTTATTGTAATTTATTTCTTTATTATAAAGTTTAAATGTACTTCTTAATTTTAAAAGCACAAGAATAAAAAAACAACAGGTATAGATAAAAAAAAATATGTTGAAATACAATAATTTAAAAAGAGCACTGCTTTCTATATTTTATTTTTTTTCACAATATTGTCTAAATGTATTTTATAATTTAAGAAACACAAGATTTAATTTAAAAAATAAACATTTAATATTAAGTGTTATATTTAGTTTATTATTACCATCAGGAGCGATTTTATTTACTTCTTCAAAACTTCTGTATTTAAAGGAAAAAAATTATTGCATCTTATATACTCTGAAAAAAATATAGTCAAAAGTACTAAAATTTGGTAAAATTTGCTGTGTTTCTGGCTCCATGGGGAACATCAAAAAGCTTGGTAATTTTTACCTGAACGTTTTGGCAATGATTTTTGTAAAATTAACAATAATATACTTTTGATATAATATAATATACAATTTTATACATTTTGATTGAAATTAGTAGCTGCGGTAAAATTTGGTGATTTTATCATGACGCCTAAGACCATGGCATAAAAACCATTTATTTTGTTATATTTGTTTTTCTACTTGATAGTCTGTGTAGATCAAAACTAAACTCTACAAACAGAAAGAATTCTGGTAAAATTATCGTACTGTATGGTAATGATATATCTGGTAAAAAATACAATTCTAGTAATAAAAACCAAAATAAACAGCATTAAAACCACTCATTTTATGATTTTTCGTTCATTCATATGGTAACTGTTTACCGGAAATTCTGGTTTTCAAAATTACATTTCTTATTACTGCACAATTAGTAAAAATACGAAACTGAAGAGTAAATTTAACCGAATAAATAGATTTCATGCCATGCTCTAAAATATCATAACAAAATTACCAAATTTTACCACATTTAATGCATTTTGTCACATATTATAAAACTATATTTTATAGTTAATCTTACCAAAATCATTACCTAAGTGTTTCGGAAATTTTTGGTATTTCCAGAGTCAGAAACACGGTAAAATTGCTTACCTTATTCTGACAATTTTGGAAATACTTTTTTTCCTCAGTGTCAGTGTAGTTGTATGTTATTTTTCCAGTACCTGGTGTTGGAGAATATTCACAAAACAATTTTCATACTCTGATTGGTACGTGATCACCCAATAGGTGCAGAGGTTTCAGGCATGATTCACAATCATTAGTTCATGGTTTGATAGTTCAAACTTAAATATAACCACAAAACTAGCATCACTTGTTACTAATTGCACCTTAAATCTGTTGCAAACCAACTGTTGCTGTAGTACGGAATAACAAGGTATCTTAATAGTTTAACAATCCACCTAAATGAAAATAAAACTCGATATTATCCATACCATAGCAATTTAGAAAATTTATAACACTACTTTCATCGCAATGAGTGAGATAATTAAAATGTTAAAATTATAACGGTTTTAAAATTATTATTTTAAACACTTGTGCAGCTTTTGAAGAATAAGTCAAAGATTTTAATGGACATACAAAAAACATCTACCAAAAAACTAGAAAAACTCTTAAACATTTAAGATCAAGCATTCATAAAACCTTATTCTAACTATAATAAGGAGCACGAAAGATGTCGTTGACCCCAGAATAAGAAAGATTTCGATAATTGGAGTCAAAGTACAAAATTTATGAATAATAGCTTTGTCTTTTTTTCAACAGTTGCCGATTAATTAAGTATAAAATAAAGTATTTTTTTAAACTTTACTGAACCATTGGCGATTAGCAAATGTGCTATAAATAAAATGGTTTTTTCCTTACTTAATACATGAACAGTTTCTAAGAAAATCGATCAATATTCACTCTCATTCGATTGTTCCCGGTTTTCCACCTTGAACTGGATATTACTCTTTCACAGTAACTTTTCCAGATATGAAATTAGGTCACATCTCCCCGGCTAAAACTTTCAGATATTTGTAATTATCAGGTTTTTAGGTCACAACTATGGAGTATACTCCCTCGATGTTAATGACATAAGGATTTTTTAAAGAAGAGCCTCAAGATGTTGGAGTATAAAATCCGGATGATCCTGTTTTCTTTTCCAGTTTTCACTTGGATAGGAAAGCAGAATTTTCATTTGCGAATAAGATTTAATACTTAGATTTCCAGTTCGTTGTTGAGAAGAAGAAAATTGAAGCTAAGCTGAATATTTTATTTTATGTCAAGAGTATGTAGAGAGTTCTACAGAATTACAAGCCTTTTAAGAGGTTAGTTGTAATATGATTTAACAATTGAAATTCTTAATACTTTTCCTGGTTTTAAATTTTTCTGTTTTAATTAGTTGCAAGATGATTTTTCTGTTTTATTCTCAATATTTCAGAGAAATCGCGTAATTTTAGCAAATATGGTTAAACTTTTAATAAATGCCTAAAATACATTAAGTTCTACTTCTATTATACAATCATTTTTTTAGCTTCGTTATTCTTTTCAAGTGAGCATTGTTAGCAATTGTTATTTTATATTTTTATTTCCAGTTTATTGATTTAGAACTTAGTGAAAAAATTTCTCATGAGCATTTAAATAAAATAATTTATTAAAAACTTTTTGTTTAAAAGACAAAACTTTCTTTTAATTAAAACGAAAATTTTCGAAAGATATTTTGTGCACAGTCATCTTTCTCTTAGTAATTAAAGTATGGCACGTATTTTTAGCACTAGACTTTGTAAATATTTATAGCATGCACTTACAAGAACCAGTGCTGGTTAGAGAAAATTTGAGCTTTTTTATATTCCAAAGTTTTGTTTTATAATTGTATCCATAGACTTTTTCTAAAAACTTTTCGCGACTAAAATTTTCAAACTTGTTGTAATATTTTAAATAAATATTTTTCTACGAAGCTAACTATATATATTGCAGTAAACTGTAGTAGTAGTAAGGGCTTGAAAATTATATTAGCCTAGAAGCCTGGGGCATGTGAAATTTTCAATGGGGCATCTATATTTTCACCTTACATACCCAGTCGAGCATGTAAATATTTAAACAGATAGCGTGAACTAATAATTAACTGTACATACATTTTAACTAAAATCACCAAGCTGATAAACGGTAGATGCAGATAAACGGTACTTTTTTGTTCATATTAATGCCATTAATTTACCTCAACGATGCTTATTCGTGCTTAATATTTCTTTGAAATAAATACTTAATTCTTATATGACTTAATACTTCTTATTTTTACTGAAAATAAAGGTGTTGTTGTTGGTGCATTTTGTTGTTTTTTCGAAAGAATAATAATAAATTCATTCATATGTTTTCATTGATATCCGTTAGAAAATATGCTTGGATATGTAAGAGTTGTATGTAAGTTATATTATTAGAGCATGTATTAATAAATTTTCGGATTTGTAGTACTATATTAATGTAGTAAACTGTGCTGCATAAAACTACATATATCTGATCCCTAAGTTTAAAATGCTTTATTTCTTTGACATATGTTACGTGCCTTATTTATTCGTTTGTTTTAATGATTTGCTACTCAAAGTTTGACATATTCACCAAAAACGTAAAAAAATCATAGTAAAGTAAAAAAATCATAAAATGTCTAATGAGGAAATTGGCAATCTTTGATCCCTTCAGTGATCACGTTCTAGAATTTCAAGAAGCTACTCGGATCCAAATGAACCACGTAGTAATAGTCAACTTATTAGAATCGTAATTTATCCGTTGAACTCAACTAAAATCCGTATTTCTATTTATATGTTTCAATAGAACTTCAAAATACATTTAATTTTAAGTTTTTCCTTTCCTTAGGAAATTATTTCCAGATTTTCTCTTTAAAAAACTGATCGCTCTAATTCAAATAATTATTTTATAAAATTTTATTCTATTTAATTTCATACATGATAATGACACATTAAACAAAATAATATTAAACAAATATACATTATAAAAATTGTTTGCATTAAATATTATTTTATGTACGTAAATTGTTAACATTAAACAAAAAATATAATTGAAATTAAAGATAATAAATGAAGTATACACTGTTTTACATACTACATTTCTTAGTTTTAAATTTTTCCAGCTTTGTTTTCACTTAAATTATGTTAGATTTATGAGCAATATTCTTGTATTTATGTTATATATCTAACTTTGACTCTATTTTCATATTTTTCTCATTATTTAAAAGTTGATTTTTATTTTAATTTGAGACGCTTTCACACTTATTAGGAAAAAAATGAATTTTTTATTTTTCTTTTGCAAACATATGAGTTCTAATGTAATATTACATAAACTATTTAGATATTTTTATCAGAAAATTTTTAACAGTTCTAATTTTATTTGTAATTAAAAAAGTTATTAAGCAGTAATTTTATAGATGGAACCAGTTAAAAGGATGCATTAAAACTTTATAATAGAAGTATTACTAACTACTACAGGTATTTTCTTTTTGAAATTTTCTTAATATGTTTTTATGTTTCTTATTCGAAATTTTATATATCGCTGATCAATATGTCAAATATAACCCCATGTGTGTGACATGCTGAGGTTCGTAAACCTCAACAGTACTGAGAAAACATAAGGTCAAAGTACAGAAGCTCTCACGTCTGTCTTTCTCTTTCCCCCAAACAATCACATTGCCAGCACAATAATTGATAAATCGTTTTTCATATTATTAACCTTGTTTATGTCTAAATTTCAGAAGCATCTGGGTTGTTCATTTGCCTCTATCACAGCTGGAGGGACAGTTGAACCCGCATCGTTCTATCAATACTTGAAGGAGAAAATATCATAGAGCATTATCATTTATTAGAGTTAATCATTGTTTGAAACCATCTTTGTCTGTCTCAGGTCTTTAAAATTGCTCTTGACATTGTAAAAAACAAAAATGCAAGGTAAGTTTAAATACTGAACTTATAATTATATTAATCTTTTTACTCCTCTAGCATTTTTTTATTTTTATTTTTGATAAAATGACTTCTCTTTTCAAAGTTCACTTTCTTAAGATGAAGTCAATGACTTGACTTCTCTTTTTTTTCATACATTTTGTGTTATACTATTATTCTTAACACTACGAATAATCAGTGGCTATTTCGAATTATAAAATTAAAAAAGTAGGATTTTTCCCTAGCGTTTCACAAGTTTTCACAACTCGTAAAAAGTAAATTGTATTTTTGATCAAAATAATGAACAACCATTTGTATTATTAAAACTCTACTTTTTAAATTAAAAAGTACGCTTTTCTCAAATTTTGGCATTTAAAAGTCATACAGATAAGATGATAATTTAGGAATTTATGTTTTAATAGTATGTGTAAATATTATATGTGTCACTAAAAGATTTTTCAGTTAATGATTGGCAAATCTAATCTAGATTCAATCTGGTATTTATTTTAGGTAAAATGTAATAGTTAGAAAATCGAACAGAATTACAATACGAAAAGCTTTAAATTATTAAAGGTTTTGACCCTTTTAAACTATAAAAGACACTGCATTTGCTGGAATGCATACGTTTATACACAATCTGTTAGGAAATGTACTTATGTAGAATAGATATATTTCAAGTACCAACAAAAGATATCTTTAATATAACCAATGTATATAACTACATAACTATATAACTAGTATATAACTACATATAACATCTCCTTGGACCAATTCCACGAATAAAAATATTGTCAGTAGTACTTACGAAAAAATTACTAGTAATATTTTTGTACAAAGCTTTGATGCTTCTAGATTTACAAATTACACAACCTGCTCCCCGATCATTATAAGCATTTAATAAATATTCCATTGAATTAATTTCAATTATTCATCAATCAACATTATTGTTGTTAAATTGCTAAATTAAGAAAACAATTATGGTCAAAACTACCAGTATATGGTAAATTTTACCAAATTTCTTTCTCTACTAGAACACCAATAAGTTCGGTAATTTTAACCGATGTGATTTGGTAACAATTCATTCGTTTAAATTTACTTTTCAGTTTTGTATTTTTTACTAAATGTGTAGAAATAAAAACTATCATTTTATAAACCAGAATTTTCGGTAAACCGTTACCATATGAATGGAATAATTAGCAGATGAATGGATAAAATATTTTGATTTTATAAACCAAAATTATGTTTTTTTTTTCACAAGAAATATCATTACGGTAATTTTACTTGTTTTGTTCGTCAGGGTGGGATAGAATTTTGTGCTGATTGAAAGAAATGATAGCATATAACATTTAGTTAATCATAAGTTGTAAACGAAATTTAAAAACAATGTACTTTCAACGGAAATTGCTTTATATATACATAGATAAAACTTTAAATTAACAACAACAAAGTTTAAATTTAATTCACAGTAAAAATTTTTATAATTTTGCTAAGTGATAGGATTGCCATAAATTATTACAAACTTTCCCATAAATACCTTAAAGGGAATTTCAAGCCAAAAGGGCTAATTTTGGAGATGATTTTAACTGAGTCAATGTAAATGAAAAAAGAGAAAAATATTTTTTTAATAGTGTCTAAGTCTTAATAAGTAAAACTTAGAGTAGAAAATTTAAATAGGGGGTTACTTATTAACATACTTAACAAATGGCAGAAATATCTAAATTATATTATTGTGGGAAAGACATTTTGATGAAGCAATTTAGTGTTTTGATACAAAAAAGTAACGTGCAAAACCACGCAATCATTTTCATTAAAACAAGATTAAAGTAAATACTTTTAAATAACTTAGCCATCCTTAAAATATATTTCAAGTATTTTCTTGAGTTTTAAGATGCATTTCCGTAACAAAATGCTAGTTACTTCCATCTGAGAAAAAAATTGACCAAAAACTGTATCTTTAAATAATAACACCAATTGCTTTTCCCCTAAATTCATTGTTTAATATCATCAAATATTCTCAACTTCGAAGAAAAAAAAATATTATAGTGTTAATATTATTTGAAAAGAAAATTATATTGCATAAGTAGTAAATATTTAGTTCATATAACATAAATATCTGTAGAATTCAGAAATAGCTGCTGTTAACGTTATTGTTCCCACCAAAGCCCAAACAACAATTTTAATGGATATTAAAAATTCCGAAATTTACTCTTTTCTAATTATGCCTTTAAGTGGACGATTAACGAATTCTAATGTTTAATTTAACAATAAAATTTCGTCCATGGAAATTAAATTAACTTAACAGAATTTAAACTACGTAATCTCTACGAGCTCTAGAGTTTAATAGAATGTACAAATGGGAATTACGTTTAGCTCTTTCATTTTTCATTTTGTAACTAAATCATTTTATAAACACGCTCTTAACTTACACGATTAGACAATTTAAAGAAGTGAAAAACATGAAATTAAAATTTAAACTACTTTTTCGCGATTTATGCATAAAATAATACATAATAATTTGAAAGTAAAAAGTAAAATAAACTGAGGATATTTCTCATTGCTAAATTTCGCTACATTTTATAACTACTCCCCAAAACTTATTAATTTCATTCTTTTTCTTCAACAGTGTCCCCAAGAACTTTGTTACCTCTATGTATTGTTTTAATTTTCATCAGTCATCAATGCTCATCACAATTTTTTACAAAAATCGCCAATTCCATCCCCAGAATGGGAAAACGCTATGAATTACCAGCAGTAATCGTAAGTATGATTTGCCTAATTTACACTTAAAAATGTTTTTTTTTTTGCACTACTGCTAAGCCATATTATTATAACACAATGGTTAAAATGATAGTTTTAAAATAATAATAGAATTCATTGAAAATTACAGGGGTTGGACAAAACTAATTAAAAACTTATAAGTGAGTCACTCTGCAATTTGTTGGACACAAAGCTAGGTTTTTGAAGTTACACTTACAAAATTTTAGGAGTGTCCAAAGTAGTCTTCGCCAGCATCGTAAATGAATTTACACTTTCGTAGATGAATTTTCTAAATATTTAATTCCTGAAACCCTTTATTTCTTCGAATCAATATATATATAGATAGATATATGAATATATAGAATATATATAT